AAACTGATATACAACATGTATTTCAACATGACCTGTTCTAGTGATGACTTCTTAATAAATCTGCTCTACGTTTAAACGCTAGTGTTAAATACTTTCCTAAATTATGAAGTTCTTTTGTTTTTTCGATTTTGAGTAATTGAACGAATTTATACATACAAGGCCTTTTGAAATAATATTGCTTTATGTATTTAGACCGGAGGTCTGAATAGCGATTACATTTAATTATAAAATGAAATTCATCTTCGTTATCATTTTCATTACAAAAAAAATACATGTTGTTTCTTCTCTAGGTATATCTCTGTAACGGCCACGTTCAATGAACAGGTCATGCGCACATAAACGCATCTTAGAAATATGTTTTAGATGATTTAAATTAATTGCCATTTGAAGATATGGTTGCAATTTAATACTTTTCACTAAGTGCTGATATAATACTCCTTTAGAAGAAGAATACACTTTCTCTAGACAATCTTGCTGACAGCTATCACATAATCGCTGCTTATATACTTCACTGGAATGATTAATACTACATGTATCAGTCACAAACTTTTTTTTTTTTTTTTTTTTTTTTGTAAATTTTCCATTATAGTTTAAAGCGAGACAAAGATAATTAAACTGATCATCTACTTCAATCGCATCATTTTTTTAAACCATTTTTCTTTTGCTCTTATTAAACCACCATTTCTAAAGACAGCTATTTTTGTTTTATGTACCTTTAAAGTTAAGCTCCAGTTTCTACAATAATCTGGTATTGAATCTAACATTTTCTGCAAGTTTTCTGGTGTTTCCGATAGTACGACCATATCGTCTGCATACATGAGTTAAAATAAATTAATAGTTTGAATTTCTAGTGATAAGCAATTGTTTTTTTATAAAATCCATTTCTAAATCATAAACAAATAATGTAAACAACAAGGGAGATAATATTTCCCCTTGGAATAAACCACAATCACATTTGAAAAAATCAGTAACACCTTTGAATTTAAAACAGCAGTAAAGTCTGTTTCGTTTTCTGAGAGTTCTCTTAATTAATGATTGTAGTACGAAAATAGCATCTATCGTGGACAGGTTTTTTTCTAAATCCAAATTGTACATCTGTGATAATATTATGTATTTTATCAACATTAACTCGGTCAATTTTTCAAACATCAAATTGAAATTTGGTATATAGGTGTATTAAAGTCATATTAACAACATATGTTCTGATGTCGCTTACTTTATTCGGTATTTTAACAGAATTTGTCAGGCGACGCTTGTTGTCACTTGAAAACGCTTGTTGTCGGTTGAAGACGCTTTTAAGGGTCACCGTATGCAGCGGGTGTTTTAACTTCTTAGCGGTTGTCGTCAGTTGAAAGTCGGCTTTCACCGAAAAAAAGGGATGAAGGCAGGCAATTGGACGTAACACGACAAGGCATTGTTAGACACTGATGAAATTATATATTTTGAAATTTTATATATGATACATCATACACTGTTGCAGGAACATTTTACAACACCTACCATTTCTAGCATGCACAAATGACTTGTAACTCAGATAATTCCATACAAAGTGAACATGATCTTTGAAGTGGCCTCAATAAAACTCCAAGGGAGTTTGGATTGTAAAATCTTAAAAGTTGATCGAAAATGTAATACATGTCCTTTATATGCTCAAGTAAAAGAAACATATTTGTCCTATTATATTGATTCTAACCTGAAGCCCAGAGATTCAATCAAAATGAAGAGGCCCACGGGCCTTAACGGTCCCCTGAGATAACTTACAACTGTTACACTTTGTGGTATTGTGCTGTGACAAAGCTCAAAGGTACATATTTAACCAAGTTTGTCTTTTTGACTAAGGATTGACTTTTACAAAATGATGTCGGGGTGTGACCAACATTTACATATATACCAGTAAAATGATGAAATAATATAAAATATAAGTCAGTTATAAAGTTAAATCTACCACCAAAAGAGGAATAGATAAAACTGCTATCATTTAATAAGAATTTTAGCTACTGTTAAATTTCACATTATTCAATATTTTTTTTTTTTTCAAAGTATTTTTCACATTACAATAACATACATTTCATTATGCATTATAAGTTCTACTTTTACACATATATACTTTCATACTAATCCATATTTCTCTTTTTGTAAATGGCAATTTATTTATTGTAATGTTTTATAAGAAAGGAAAGAAAATCAGATAAAGAGAAATTGAAATGTGTAAAATGCATAGGTCTCTGATTAGATCATTAATTACCATTATTCTTTTATTGTGCAATTCTCTGTAAAATATACTTCTATTTCCTATTGTAATCTTATTGTTATACCAGATGGGCATTTTAAACCTACTGCTAGGGGACTGATATTTAATTTTTCATTAGAATTTCTACACATTTATACATGTACAGAGGGGTACCTTGTCAATACATGTACAGAGGGGCACCTGTTCAATGCATATGCAGAGAGGCAGGTGTACCTTTTCAATACATGTACAGAGGGGCATTTGTTCAATGCATATACAGAGGGGCAGTTGTACCTTTTCAATACATGTACAGATGGGCATTTGTTCAATGCATTTACAGAGGGGCAGTTTTACGTTTTCAATAAATGCACAGATGGGGTATCTTTTCAATACATCATATACAGTATGGCCGATGTCATATATATGTAGGGGTACACCTGCCAAATGCAGGTATAGTGTGGCCCCTGTTATATACATGTAAGTAGGGCACCTGTCCAATACATTTACAGTATGGCCCCTGTTATATACACTTAAGTATGGCACCTGTCCAATACATGTACAGTATGGCCCCTGTTACATGTATATTCATGCAATTATGGCACCTGCTTTATATATAAATATACATGTATAGTGAGACACCTGTCATATATCACCAAAAATACTTATTTCAAGATGTGTAGCCAATTTCCAATTTCATTAGTGTCTAATTGTAATTAAAATGACAAATGTATCTATTTCTATATCACATACAGATGTATATGATTAGGAAACGTTTGGTTACTGGACCGTTATAGTAACTTTAACTTTTTCTATTAATATTATTCAGGCATGTGATCCTCAGGAACCTTCAGCATCCTCTGCCACAGCTTGTCACTGTGAACACATGTATCAGTGGATTTTGTTGTGCATACACTACTAGTCAGAGAGTGTCAGTTTAAGGCTTTCTCAAGAACAAAAACAGTTTACAAGAATTATTTTGTTGATGTCTGAGATAATAAAAAAGCCTGAATATCTTGAAGTCTAACTAAAGATTGTGTTTGCGTCATTTTTATAAACTAAAATTTGATATCACGAATCTCGTTGATATGGATCCCTGAACATGCAAGTACCACCAACAACAAGGAATATCTTAATAAATTTATTCAAGAAAATAATAAAGATAAAAATATATGGCTCTTAAGTTAGATTATCTATTAAATTTATACAGAAGACACATATATTGAATGTGACAACATGACTATTTAACTACACTAAACCCCAAACCCCAAAAGAAATTTAAAAAAAATGTAAATAGATAATGAAATTTTGAAATAATTTTTTTTATCAAATGATCATATACTTATTTTTAGGTTTAAAATAATAGTTAACAATTTTCAAAGTTAAAAACATCTTCCAACCTGATTTTTTTTTTTAAATTAAAACGCAAGTCTCAAAACTCACAACCAATGTTTGAAAATGAAGAAATAAAAGAGATAATGCCCTTGTGCAAATTAAAAGTCTGCTGTCCAAGGTCATTATAGAAACAGTTTCTCTCATGAAATTAGATAGATCACGTTCTTTGTAAAGTCGTAACTGAGATGATTAAATTTGTGCTCTATATTAAAAAAATCAATGACTTTTTATCAATACAAATAGATATGTATATCATGAAATGGAGACCTACAAACTACATTTTATATTTAGTACTAGCGATGTTGATGTTGTTCTTATTGATAATTATGTATCACGTTTTGGGAATATCTCAGATTGTGGTGTAACAATTGACAAAACGCAGACTGGATTTATAATATTGCTTCATACGAAGTCATGGCGAGCAGTCAACAGTATTTAGTACTACGAATAGACTATATTGAGGTCGCCGATAGGGGGGCCTGACAGTCGTTTACGGTATAAAAGCTTGTGGTGACGAAACTGCGAGTGCATAGAATTTATAACTCGGTATTTAGCAAGTGTTTGTCCTGTTGCGAATATTTAAAGTTGGCGGTAACAACACACATCGGCATTCGATGTCGAGTTGGAATGCCGAGTACAGTAGCGACCGGAGTGTGTCTCCAATGCATGACGTGTGGCAAAAACCTTCGTCTTATCGCACACAGCACAGCTGTCAGGTGTGAAAACAGAAAGGACATGCCTCTGTATGTCTTTTAGTGGTCCATATGCATCATTGATTAGGCCTACCATGAAAGTATGTGAAAGATACCCGCTTGGCTTCTGAATTAAATTCACTCGACTTGATACAGTTCTCTGAAGCGGACGATGAAGTGCTCGATTTATGTCCGCCATATTTAAGAATGAGACTTAAGCATGCTAAGGACCGTTCTCAAGTATTGGTCCATTCTCAGCTTAAAATCTAAGAATTGAGAATAAAGAATTTTGTAGATAGCCAATAGTTGAGCCTATGCTTAAAGTTAAGCATATACTCAAAGTTAAGCATTGAGAACGGAGCTAAGACGTTTCGTGCAAGCGGGGCTCGATATACTTGGGTATTGCCAGGGCACATTTTCTAGTATCATAACGCAATGCATCAGTTTTAGATTTTCAAAGACACATTTGGTTAATGAGAGGTCTGACTAACAACGTTATTTTGAATAAAGTATTGTAAATTTTAGCACTTTCTCTTAATATATTCAACGTTCAAAATCCTTCCTTAAATGAAGTGTTCACAATAAAAAGTGCCTAAATAAGAAATCATAAAGAGTATAATGATATGGTCATTTGTACAACTCTGCCGATGTCAATGAAATAATCATTCTTACCTTACTCTATGTAGCAACAGAGATGTCACCAAGAACTTTTTTGAGGAGCTTAAACAAGACTACCAATGCGAGAAGAACGTCATACTGAAAAGGTTGGTAAACAAAATGAGCGTGCGTCGAGTAATTTAACATGTTATCCCTAAAATTACATTAAGACACATTGTGCACATATGTTAAAAAAGTATGTAAGTATGTAGCAGTGTTATATATGTAAGTAACTGAATGGATGTTGTTTGTAGATGTCTTTTGTATTTGAGTAACAGTTTTATGTGTGTATATCGGTATTTTCTATCTGCTACAACTGGGCCCAGTTGTTCAAAAGTTGATTAACTTAATCTGTGATTAGCACAAATTTGAATTTTATGGTTACTTTATGACACAACCATTGAATCAGTTACAACTTTCCAGATAACAAATATTTAGTCAAGTAAATGTACATGCAAAATTGTGAGATTTTACCTTGTATATTGACGAAAGTATTAGAGGTTGAAAAATGTCGTTAAACAGTGATTAACCTAACACCTTTTGAACAAGTGGGCCCTGGTGTACTAATGTCCACCGCCGTTGGAACACCCTATCTGAATCATAGATCCGTAATAAGGCAAATCGATGGTTTAGCCATTGTGACCGCACAATATGCTACAAAGGAACTATCGTCAGTCATTCCGAGTGACACTGTTTTAAGTAGTGCTTTTATTACATTTTTCCTGATTTTTATCATAACGGTAGCACGAAATAAAATATATCTATCTAATCAGATACAGATAAAACATTAAAACCTCTGGATGTTATATCGAAGGTTTCTATGTATATGTGTATGATATTATGTGTACAAGTCTTGTGTGAAGTTGGATGCATCAGTATTATTTACATATGTGTTATGTGTGTCAGTGTATAATTATGTTAACATATGTTATGTATGTAAGTAAGTGTATTGTGTTGTATGAATGTGTGATGTATGTAGGTGTATCATTATGTAAACATGTGTTATGTATGTAAGTGTATAATTATGTAAACATGTGTTAAATGTATGTATGTAAGTGTATTGTGTTGTAGACATGTACGTAAGTGTATAATTATGTAAATATGTGTCATGTATGTATGTAAATGTATAATTATGTTAATATGTGTTAACTTATTTGCTGCTGATACATGTCTCATAGTCTTATCATAAAAATTGATGAATGAAGTGAAAAGAAGTATATAGTTTTTGATATATTGTGAACAAAGCTCAGGAAATATATTTTCGATAATGAAAGAATATAAATTCTTCGTGTGATATGAGTTTTAAGATTTCGTAATGCAAATGTGTCATACATTTGCTTCAGTTTGAACAGAAATCTAGATAGATATGTATATTTTACACTCGTAAAGTCTGTTTTTTAAACTAGGTCTCCTACGTTAGAAGACAATTCCCAAATCGAAACACTGAAATCAAAGGTAAGTAAAACCGTTTAGTCGCGCTTAATACAAACCAAAACAGAAGTTAAGATCTTGACGAGCAAAAGTTTTGTGTATAAGTGGTAACAGACTTTTTTTGCTATCAATGTTGGTTTTGTTAAGCTGATATGCAATTTAAAAACTTCAACAAATTTTACTTCCTAGTGAGGACGACCTTATCGAATTTGACATATTGACAGATGAAATGACGGGTTACACGAAGCATGAAAATTTTCTTTGAAATTTTTAATAAAAAGATTTGTTTTCATAAATACATTTAAATATACAAATAGGTCCTGCATAATAAAAATCTGAAATGTGATGAATTTAATTTATAAATGTATCTCAAAATTTTTGTATCAAAATCATTTCAGAATCGGAAAAAAACACACTTCAGGGAAAAACTTGATCTTATTAAAAATAAAAGCAATTTTGTTTCAAATGAAGGAATGAGAACAGCAATATTTTCCCAGGTATACATATAAAACACTATATCATTGTTTTCCTCCAAAGAAAAACTTTTGTTTTTCAGATTTCTTAAATTAATTGCATCTAATCTTACCATAGTGTATTACGGAAGCACTGAATCAACGTAAACGTAAATGTTTTGTTTTTGTTGGGTTTTCTTTGTTGGTGTTTGTTGTTGTTTTTTTTTCGAGTGTTCTGTTCTCCTTCTATTTGCATATTGTATTTTTTAGATTAATTCTATTGCTGAGAAGGAGTATTATTTAGGTGATCGTATTGAAATTAATCCGTCAAGTGACAGCGGTATATCTCCATTGAAGCAACAATCATTTCTACTGGTCTACCTCTGTATACTTCCGGTAACGGTTGCACTGATCCACATCCGGTAAAATCCTTATTATCATTATTTACAAATCTTGACGCTTCAGCGGTCGAAATGGAATACAGAGCCTTATATCAATTTTCAATTTATGATAGGTATTTCTATAATGGATAGGATATTGTGATCACAATAATTATAATAATAAAATAATTTACAGCATTTGATATAGCGCGCTGTCTAGGTCACTCTAAAGCGGTTTAGAGTACATAGATATACATTTAATACAATTAGCATATACATATAAATTAATCAATACAATTTTGAAGAATTCGCAGGAGCTGCCTTGCAATCTGGGTAATATCTCTCTATGTGTGTATGCCTGCGTGTGTGCTGGAGATGTAATGTGTGATCATATGACTACGGGAGCTTATTCGTGCCTTTTTAAGGAAGTACATTTACTATTAACCCATACGTTCGAGATAAAGAGCCGTACGTACAGTGTACAAGATTTAAAAAAAAACTTACAAACGAAATAAAACTAATCATTGATTGTGACATCACATTTGATTTGTGATAGTTATCTTTCATTACTACTGATAGTACATGCAATATCTATACATTTTAAAAAATTGTGACATTCATTGCCAAATATGATTGACATATTCTCGCTAATTTAGCTTAGTATACGATTAAAATGTTGGACAGGCTAACAGAACTGCTAAGAGTGTAAAACAAAGATATGAAAAACAAAGAAATAAAACAAAAAAATTAAGTTGAGGGTGTTGCTTTATGTTTGAAGTTTATTCATATCGCGCAAACATCATTGCTCTTTATTGAAAAGATACGTACAGTGTACCTTCTTTCGATAAATCAATGTGTAGCATTCATGATTGTTGGTGATACCAGTTTCCCTATGACTCAACATAACGTGGGGAGAAAGGAACAGTGATATACACACATTACATCTCCAGCACACACCCAGGCATACACACATAGGGAGATAATAGCCAGGCGTCATAGGCCTAGTAGTTAGCGCCTGACAAGGCAGCTCCTGCGAATTCCTCAAAATGGTATTGATTAATGTACATGTATATGCTAATTGTATAAATTGTATCTATATGTACTGTAAAGCGGTTTAGAGTGGATTATGTTACCAAGATAGGGCGCTATAGCAAATGCTGTATATTTTTATTATCATTATATAAAGAGTAATACATAACTCGCTTTTATCAAGTATGATTTTTTTTTTATATTTACACGAGTCCATATGATTTGATTTTTCTAACAAATGGATCTTCTCCCCTACCTTTTTGTGGTTTCATTACGTTGTACACCTGTTTCTATATCTAATATGTAAGATGTGAACCTTGCAATTATATAGTAAGATGTTATATATGTGTATATCGATTCTATCTACAGAAAGTTGTTGATTACATGGCAATCGACATTCGTGAGGAGGAGACGCTTTTGTTGTCCTGGATGTTAACTAAAGACCTACTTAAGAACGTACGCCAACTGTTGGTAAACTTCCATGGGATTAAGTTTGACAGCACTGTATCCGTTTACGTTGAACATCTTCAGGTCTTAAGGGCACTATACACAGAAGGCTTCAGAACGTTCCACTTTGCCAGAAATATTCGATGTCTATTTGCGGGAAATTGGAGAAGAACTGGGTGCTATTCTCTATACATGGTATTTGTGTTTTTGATTACATCTATCACCTTTATACCTATATCAACGACCTTAATGGAACTCATCAAGTTGACTACATATATTACTATTGTGTATATATCAATTATTGTAATAACATAGTGATAGCGTATGCCAAATGGTACTTACATAGTTGACTACCTATGTTACCTATATATATTTTATTTATCAATGACCGGTAACAAGTATTGAAACCGTATGTCATATAGTCAAATGGTACTCATCAAGTTGACTACATGTCATACCTTTATATATATATCAATGACCGGTATTATATATTGAAACCGTATGTCATATAGCCAAATGGTACTCACCAAGTTGACTACATGTCATACCTTTATATATATATATCAATGACCGGTATTATATAATGAAACCGTATGTCATATAGTCAAATGGTACTCACCAAGTTGACTACATGTCATACCTTTATATATATATCAATGACCGGTATTATATATTCACACCGTATGTCATATAGTCAAATGGTACTCACCAAGTTGACTACATGTCATACCTTTATATATATATATCAATGACCGGTATTATATAATGAAACCGTATGTCATATAGTCAAATGGTACTCATCACGTTGGCTACTAATATTACCTTTGTTTATTTATCAATAACCGGTATTATATATTGAAACCGTATGTCATATAGTCAAATGGTACTCATCAAGTTGGCTACTAATATTACCTTTGTTTATTTATCAATGACCGGTATTATATATTGAAACCGTATGTCATATAGTCAAATGGTACTCACCAATTTGACTACATGTCATACCTTTATATATATATCAATGACCGGTATTATATATTGAAACCGTATGTCATATTGTCAAATGGTACTCACCAATTTGACTACATGTCATACCATTATATATTCATACCGTTTGTCATATTGTCAAATGGTACTCAGCAAGTTGACTACATGTCATACCTTTATATATATATCAATGGCCGGTATTATATATTCATACCGTATGTCATATAGTCAAATGGTACTCAGCAAGTTGACTACTTATATTACCTTTACATATTTAATAATGACCGGTATTACATATTGATACCGTATACTTATCGTATTTGGTATGATAATTGAAGATGTTGTCAACAGTTAAAGCTAACATTTCCCGTCATACCCTACTCCTTCCACACAATGACGATTTGATTTAAATCACTCTATGTATAAAGTAACGACATTTTCAAGAGTAGTTATTAACTGGTCTGACTCGGTTTAAATCAGGGACATTGCCTCAGTTAACATAAAACATGCAAACATTGGAATTGAAAATATAAGCACTGCCTACATTATGATGTATTTATAACTGATTGATAAATATGGTATGCAAATTTGATATGACGTTTCATCACTCGAGTGGAGTTGAAACTACCCATAAATGATTTTGGATAACTATTCATTTAATGCCAGCTTAATTGATATCACCAGCATGTGGCTATGACGTATATAATCGTTACCATAACAATTGGTCCATTAGTTAGATATATGTGTAAGAAGTATGTCCTTAAAAAGGGCTACATTCATCTCAAGTATCGTAACAGGGTACATTCCAGAGATAGCATATCGTGCACAGAACACATAAAACATAAACTTTTTAGTGGATTAAAGGTTGTAATACATTGTTGTCTGTGCTGTGCGTTAGACCATGTGAGCGATTAAATCTCAAGACGTGTTTGAGTGGTAATAAAAAACCATATGATACATATCACATTCATTTAAACAATAACTGGTTGTCTGGATGTAATTATTGTTGATAATGAATATCTAGCGGGTTTTATGGGATTTGCCAGAGGCCACTTGTAATTATATCAACAATAATTACATCCAGACAACCAGATATTTTTTATATTTACATGTTTTTCTTTTTTAAGACATATTCCTACAAAAACCATTTGCCCTGCCTTAAAATACATTTCAGGCGGCCATTTTGTTTGTTTACATATTCCTACACCTGAAACAGGCAGTTGTAATTATAGTCGAGCAGTTGTAATTATAGCCTATATAATTACACTTGCCCTCTAACACTGTTGTAATGGGATGGCGCGGGGGCAAATGTAAATATAGCTAAATGTAATACATATGTAGTTACATTGTTTGTGTTTGTTTTAGATGCGGGAAATATCGGTATCCGGTCCAATTGAAGTGTTTACCCCAGAGACTATAAATTCAAAACCTCTAGTTGATTTAGCTACTCAATATAATAGGTAAGAAATACAGCGTTATCAAATCGAGTTTAATGAGGTTGCATTCATGTACAACCTTAAGCGAAATGTTATATTTACAAGCAGAGAACTACGAAACCTGTTGGTTTTTTTTAATATATGATAAATAATATACAAATCTTATTTGCAAAAAACACTACCAATTTTTTTCTGACCTATTCATTGCTCTAAATATCACAACATAAATCAGAAAAAAACATTTGAAAATACTGATTGGCCCACTTTTGGATGATAAAGATTTTTCTATGTTATGTCATATCAAAATTATCCTTCTTGATGAAGCTAATTAGTGATTAGCTATTTACGAAATAATCGCTACATTTTAAATTGGTTGATAAATGATGAGTTACAATCATGATGTAATTGCCACATTCTTAATACAATATAATGGAAGAGCTATACAACATATAAAATATCAGATAGCCACATTGTTGTTTTTAACATAATATATTATACGAGTGTCTCATTTTGGGATGTAGATCAGTTTTTTCCCCGTTGAATGGAGTAAAATTGAGTTTTACATAATGTATGGGCATCATTTTTCCTTTGTTCGATATCATGACAGATGCTTAGTGCCCTCTCAACGTTTTACTATGGTTTAAAATATGTCTGTTTTTCTGTTTCGATGTCTCGTCGATTCCTTTTCTATATGTTTTAAAACTGGATTTATCTTTGAGTGGTGACACGGTGTGATGTTTGGTTATATCTAAAGTTTGCCTAAACGAATAAAAGCAATCGCTCTGGTTGATGTAACCATAAAATAAATTAGATAAATCTTGATTGAAATCTTATTGAAAATACCAGTGAATGGCTAACTTGCCGTAGACTATGTGCTTTATAAAATTCAATTAAACAAACCCTTTTATCAGATTCATTACATTGCAAAAGTATAGTATGCAAAGTTATTGCAGGATAGATTGTGAGATATTTTATGGACTTAATTCTATACTTGAACAGTCTGCTGATGTCATCACAAGTACATTGTAAGGAGGTGGTACGTATAGGGGACGTTGATGACGGAGGCTGGGACGTCTGTAACGACTTAGAGTACAGGCCCTCGAAACCTTGTCTCGTCTACTCCTTCGGAGTAGCTGGAGACTGGACCTTTGACGACGAAGTATCAAGGATTTATGGATGTGAAGTACATTCTTTTGATCCCAGGTAAATTATACTTATACGTGATCAGGTCATATCTCAACTGCATTGTTTCCCTCGTTTTGCTTTCTCTCAATTACAACTTTACAGTATACAGGTATACACTCTCTACTCAGTGATAAGTTTGACGAGACAAATGAATTTTACTTGATTTAATCATGTAGAAAAGGAAAAACTTAACAGTTTATTTGTGGTCAATTATTTCATCATCTTGAACGAATATGACCACCTGTTCACAATGGTTAATCTGGAAATTATCATGTAAGGACATGAATTATGTTTACACGTTAAAAGACGTACGGTACGGATGGTAACGTGGGTTAATGAGATTCTCCAACTGAATGTTCGGAACACATTCTTCATAAAAACACTTCCAGAAGAATGTGTTGTATACATGTATGCACTCGCATTAATTGCATTTGCTGAAGTTTCGATGTTCTTATTAATAAGCATTCAAATATAAACAACAATACACGTCATGGGGTCACCGTTCGATATTCTGAATATGGTTCTTTTTTTTTTTTTTGGATTATAGTATCGGGAAGAAAGATCATAAGCGATCAGACAAGATCACCTTTCATAATATCGGATTGTGGGGCAAACCTAAAGGAAAGCAAGGGACATGGAACATGATGAATCTTAAGGAGATCATTGAAATGCTCGAACATACTGGGGTAAGTATATGCTATACTGTCTGGAATGGTATACTGTCTCGAGGAATGATACCGATATTAGAACATACATGATGTACTATTGTTAGTGTTTGGTATACTGTCTGAAGGAATCATGTAGAAAGGTATTTGGACCTACATGTAACGTAGATATAGTAAATATTCGGTATATCATCTAGAAGTAATCACATATGATAAAAATACTGTACGATAAAAGGTGTATGGTATCTATAAGGGAATCACAGATGTTCAAGAGTTTTGTGAAGCATTAATCGAGAATCATAGACCTTAAAATAATTTTGAAGTTAGTGTTCGATATTCACTAGAGAGTAAAAAGGATGTTTAACCCCTTCACCCCCATGTAACTTTAATAAACTCTACCATAAATTGTTCCAGATGAGTCCATTATGGTCTACAGTGTTGAAAGGGTTAAGAAAATGCTGGAGTCAGTGTTCTGTATATGATCAAGAGATGATTACACTTGTTAAGATATGACAGGTTCGTTTAGTGTCTCGAATGGATCAAATATATTAGGAGGGATCATATATGTTAGGAGGGATCAAATATGTAAAGAGATGATAACAGGTGTCAGGATATGATATGGTAAAGGTGTGTTTACTTTCTCGAAGGGATCAACTATATAAAGAGATGATTACAGGTAGCAGGATATGACAAGATAAAGGTTCGTTTAGTGTCTCGAATGGATCAAATATGTTAAAAGATTATTACAGGTATCAGGATATGATATGGTAAAGGTTCGTTTTGTGTCTCGAAGGGATCAAATATGTTAGGAGGTATCAAATATGTTTAAAGATTATTTCAGGTGTCAGGATATGATATGGTTAAGGTGTGTTTACTTTCTCGAAGGGATCAAATATGTTAGGAGGGATCAACTATGTAAAGAGATGATTACAGGTGTCAGGATATGAAAGGGTAAAGGTTCGTTTACTGTCTCGAAGGGGTCAAATATGTTAAGAGATGATTACATGTGTCAGGGTATGACAGGATAAAAGGTTCGTTTAGTGTCTCGAATGGATCAAATATGTTAACAGATGATTACAGGTGTCAGAATATGACAGGATAAAGGTTCGTTTAGTGTCTCGATTACAGGCGTCAGGATATGAAAGGGTAAAGGTTCGTTTACTGTTTCGAAGGGATCAAAGATGTTAGAACCTATACAGTTAAGGGTTCGGAATAATCCAGGTAACAAACTTATGTTTTAATAAATGAGAGTGTTTGGTGAATCATCATTAGGGGTTATACTAAAGATAAGACGTACGTAGATACATGCCTGTTTTAACATCTGGAAGATTTAAAACTTGTTTCAGCGGTATTGTGCTTATTTTGTTGAACAACTGACACAAATACCAAAAGATATTTTGACAAAATATAAAAGAAACATATTTATCACATAATGTAATGTGTTATCCAGTGTATATACCCATGCCATATTTTTTTGCGTATTAACCCATGTAATATGACCTATCAGCCCTGTGATTGGTTTTAAGTTTCAATTGTTTCAATTGTGACGTCACGCCTAGGACAAGTACATGACGTCACAGACTTACGCACTGGAGTCAAAAGGGCGTTTTTTTACATTTCAAGGTTGCATGAAAATTGTCGTTTTACACGAATATGCCAAAAATCTTGATTATGTGATAAAAAGGAGTTTGTACTCGTTTCTATTTCTTATACAATTTATGATATAAATCTCATATGAAATAGAAACTCATGTAAGATCCTATATATATTGTAAGTGCACACCATTCGAATTTAAACTCCTTTTTTTCATTTGTAAGATAACGATGTGAATATGATATCTGTTACCTATCATAAAGTCAATATGCAAAAAAACATTGTATGTTTCATTGCATCGCGTTCTCTTTCTATTTCAGAAAATCATCGATATTATGAAAATGGACATAGAAAGTTCAGAGTGGTCTGCTATTCCAGATATGCTGACCACTGGAGTGCTTAAGAACGTCAGACAACTCGACTTCGAATTCCATGGTACTCCCAATCCTCATGATTTATTACGATCAAAAATGAAGACACTACGTGGCATATATGATCAGGGTTTCCGGCTGTTCTGGTCTCACCCAAACATAAAGGGAGGCAACCCAACACCATTCACCGTTACCGGGAGACAGGTTTCGTCCTGTTATGAAAACTACTATCTTAATACAAATCTGAGTAAAACTTAAGTGTAACATTTGTTCATTATGTTAACTTGTGAATGAGTTCTCCTACTTTTGAAGTGAAAAGTGCAAACTTTTATATCAGATAGTTAGAGAAATAACACTATGTGCGTTAAGTCATAGTGTAAAAGCCGTGTTTGTATTTCACCTTATGCCCGTAAAATCGGAGTTAATTTTGTAATAAAGCATTTATGTTTTAAAAACTCATATTGTAAGTAGATAATTACGAGTTGTCTACCCGGGGAAAAAAAATGCTTTTGTATAAGGATAACCCTACTTTAAAAGAAAATAAAACAGGTTCCAGCTCAATATTTGAAAACAAGGTTGAATGGCAAATGCAGAGTAAACGGCACTTTAGTTAAAAAAAGTTGAATGTATAGTTTGGGTAACATACTTTGTAAGCAACAGTTCACACTCCAACATTTAAACATTAAGTGAAATGTTCTTTGGATGTACAACCTCTTTAAGCAGAACTACAGACGACTCGACAAGCAAAAAGTTAATACATTTGTATATGGGTTGGTTTTCATACGTTCAACGCAAAAGAAAACGATTCTATATTTTACATTGCTAGATATTTTGTCAGTTATCAGTTTTTGCATTTAAACTGTCGCTTCGTAAAAAAATACATTATCTAGTATAATCATATATATTTACATTAGCGTGGCAACCCACTAAATGAACATTACCAGCAGAAATGCATTTCATTTGAGTATGAAAGCAACATTTCTCGTGACGTAACGTTAACACGTGGTTTATTTATGACGTCATAGATTAACCTTGTTCAATGAGAGTCTTGTCGCTTCGCTTTGGATAATTTAACGAAAAATGACTCAAATTACTACGGTTAGTTATTGGCGCCAATTTTATTTAAATAGGGCTGTTTCTCCAACTTCTTTTGCAGGACGACGCATATACAACACGCAGTGAATAAATCAATTATTTTAAAACAAAAGAATATAATTAAACAATTGTTCTATAGTAAAAATGTAAATATATGGATTGAACGGCGTTTTTGTATGTTTATGCCTGTATGAACGCAAATCGGTTCGATCGATATTGCACGAATCCCGCTAGGGTTTCATGTTTTGTGGATGTAACTGATTTGCATTCATACCCGCATAACAGTTTAAAAACAACGCCGTTCCATCCCGATATGAGCATCACCTAAATAATTTATTTAAAATTATTCATTGCATTTTTTTTTTTATATATATCAGTTAACATAGCATTGAATAAAAATGCCAGATATAACCATATTAACTATCTGTTATACCGTATGATTAATATGTTCGTTGTATTACTTCGGTTCATGTATATCTCAACTTGAATTGCATTGCAAACTATTAATATTGATGTAACAAACAAAATCGGATGGTCAGAGAAATCAGGAGTCACGCTATGCATGTTTGATCACGATGTCAAATGTTGTGTCCGATTTAGTTTAATCCCATGTGAATAGGAGACACAAGAGTGATTCAAAACAGTAGTCATAGTTAGATCAAGGTGTACTCTTCTTTGGTACGTTTATCTACGTATTTCACTATATCTGTCTTTAATAAAAAATAGATAAAAAAAAAAAAAAAAAAAACGTCTGCTAGCTACACAAATATAAATATTTACATTTCCACTGTACAGAGCCTATATGTTTCTACCGGGCCTAATTTATGTTATTTCCGTATAAGATACATGGGGCTATTGCTTATGACGTCATAACTGTAACGTTGGAGATTGCACTGCTCCGCTGTCAACTGGTGGCTGTTCTCTGTATGGATTTACCCTGACGTTGAAACATGTTCAAACTAATATTATGTCTTTATTTCTGCGTGAACTGTAAGTTGATTAACATAAAACGCAACTATAAGTATTGGTTGTCATATTTTTGACATGCATTGGTGTGTAACATGCATTGGCTTACCTACATATTTAACATGGTGCGTTCAATATGTAGGTACATGTAAGCCAATGTATGTTACACCAATGCATGTCAAAAATGTCCTTAGTAAATAACAACGTGGGCATTTATGTAAATGCATTTATTGACTTGTGATGGCTTGTTGGCAATGCTAGCTCTGAAATTGTCGTAATGGGTTTTTTTTGTAACCGGATCGTGTCTTATAGAAATGTCAACTCCGTTTTCATTTTCTAATTGTGCTACATCTATATTTTATGTTCAACAATGACAAAGATCATTTGCAAGCAATAGCATTATAATTCTGGTAATATTTTTTTTATTATGTATATTCTATCATGAGCACGTATTGCTAATGTAAAGAACATCTGAGTGAATGCATTATGATACTCTTTACAATATTTAAATATAATTACACACGGACGTACATTGGATATTAAAATATATATCATGTACTCATTCTTATCTGTTTATATTCTGTTTATCAACCCCCTCAACTTTAAAAATAGAGAGTTCGACTGTTTTAAGTTTTATGTTCTAAAGTATATATATGTATATATGTTTTAAACTTTATACATATTGATTTCTTAAGATTTACCATAATTGTACATGTATAATTCTCTCACATTTACCTTGAATGCCATAGAACAGCATACTTGCATACACACATACATACATGTATACGTACGTAAACACGCAAGCACGCACGCACTTACCCACGCACGCACACACACACAAACACACACACACTCATACACACATACGTACATAGTATGTTCGTCTTTATTTTGTATAAATTACCTATTTTTGGGTTTGATCTGTAAACACTCTGTCCTCTTCCGGTGCTTCCCATGCATATATGAAAGCCTTCTGGGAATTTGAGACTGCATACTATCTACAAAAATAAAATATACAATGTAGTTAACCCCAAGATATCTGTATTTATTACATTTAAAAGTGAAACATCATGAATTCTACGTCTGATATGTATGCATCGGAAACACTAAACAAGATGATTTAAAATATTTTCCGATTTTTTGTGGATTTTTCTTATGCATAACAATAAGAGTTATGTCCCTTGTGTCGTAGCCAGTTGTCCCATAAGGATGAAGGGTCACGGGTCAACTGAGGGTCATCTGATTGGTCAGTTAATTTCAAGGGGACGCTGAGCCCTCTCTATCAGTCAGCCATCTTAGATTTAAGCTGTGTTACCTATCCGATCCAGTAAAGTTATAACATTTTTTCTGCAAAATACCCACCCTCTACTCCCTTTCGTTTTGTCCCTTTCTGGACAATACTACTGACTTAAGGTGTTATTCATGATTTGGCGGTTTTTTGTTAACCCCACATTGGCTTTTTATGATATGTACTCAAGAGTTAAAAGTTTCATGTACATTATATGTATGTAATTTTATGCTATATTTCTAATTCGGAAAATTTCCTCAAATTTCATAAATAAATACTTAGTCACCCTCTTTAAGGGTGGCCTTTTTCATTCACAGTCCGTGTTGTGTCGTTTCTTGTTACAGTGAGAAGATGCATAAAATCTTTTATCTTCACCACAGTAAAGCTATACGAAATGGCATACCTTCACAAGTGAAGATATCATTCTTAGTATTATCAAATCAGTACGATACCATCTCTTCACTGCAAAGAATTTTAGTTTCAAGTTTAAATGAAGCGTCGGCAAAATAAGTGGCTGTTTTATTAAATTTTTGCAACATTCATAATGGTATTTACAAAACTTCACCATGGATATCAGTTTTGTTTGCAAATCTTACCAGATAGTAGCAGCAACGGCAAACTTGCATCTGTGTCTTCTCTCTCAAAAGATGACTTTATTACAAATTTGTTGGCATTTAAACTTGCAGTTAAAATGTACGTTTTCGTGCACTGGGAAACTTATTGAGTGACAATAGTGCAACATTTGAGGATATTGAGCGTAAAGAGAATCAATATGAATATATTGGTATATATAAAATATTTTGGCGATGGTTCAGAGATTCATTAAAGATACTAGACGCGTGTACTAGATTACACTTACTTGTTTATCTATTTGTACATGACTTTACTGTGCAGAATGATACCAGCACATAATTGCACTATGTGCCGTCCACCAGCATCATTTTAATTGACTTTCTTTTTGTACAATTTAGTTTTTGTAATTTTCAAAAAAATAATAATCACACGCAAATATCAATATATCTTATATATATATGCTTTATCATTACTTCAATCAATATGATGAGTGTAAACTATTTATTACTGTAAGGAGAGGGCGGGCATAGGCTTTGCCTGTTGCCCCAATCATTTGTATCTAAAATCTGAACAATAAATATTCTGAAAGGAAAAATATTCTGAACGTTAGAATTAATGCCATTAAAACTCGATGAATAAATTCCAAGTGTGCAGGATATGTTCCTGGTGGTTGTTGGACCCTCCAGTAAGTAATTTTCATATAAATATCTGGTGTCCAGCAGCTTTGCTNGTTCTTTTTTTGGGTTTTTTTTTTTTTTTTTTTTTTTACTTATTAAGCATTATGCTTTATTATGATAATATACATGTAATAAATGCCTGTATCATCTGACAATTTTAAATATATATATATATATGTGTACGTATTTTCTTTTATTTGAAAGTGATGAGGTTATTGTATTACGTCCGTTTATACTGTCTGTAGCTATATGCATATATGTATTTATCCCGCCTCGCCTCGCTCAATACAGGTTTTTTCATGGACCCTTTATATTTCCGTATACCCCCTGCAAGTGACTATGTAACTAATAGTTTTACCTGCTTTGGAAAGCGTAAACAGTAATAAGGGAAAACTCCCGAAGACTCCCGATTGTTTGTTGTTTGTTGCAACTTCGAAATAAAATCATCCTCTTGAAGAGCTGTTTAGTAGTGAAATACCTCGATAAGCAGTGGTCTTGTTTAATTTTAATATATATATATATATTCTATTTCTAATAACGCTATAGAAAAGCAATGATAATAAGTTGCAGTAACAGCTACTTTACTGCGTTTTTATTCGAGTTTTTCCCTACAGCTCCCTATCTCCTGTTATGCGTTTGATTCGATTTTAATCCAACAACTCGTTATCTCCTGTTAATAACGGTGTTTAGTTGTAGTGTCTTACAGACGAAGCATTGTTTGCATGGCATGCCGCATTTCAGTTTCTGTCTTGATTACTGACGGTGCAGTGTGAGTGAGAAAGGCAGGAAGCTTTAATTTATCACATATTAAAATAGTGTTAAAAACATATCTAATAACCACATTGTTGTGATGATCAAACTAGGTAAGCCTTTCACTGTGTAAGTTATTTGACAGTAACGTAGACTTAGTAGTGAACGTAAAATGTATGAATATAATTATTTACTTTAAGATTAAATTGATGTTGACGATATAAATCCTATTATTTACGGTGCGGACCGTCCATACGCTACACCCATAGTACTGTCAATAGGATTGGCCGTTACTCTTGATACAGATTGAGTTACTTAGCTTAAGTTTTCATTGTTTGGCACACATACTTTACTCTTCTTTTTGTTTAACTTGTAAACATATTTATTCCGTATTCTTAATAAAAAGTAAGCTGTCTTTTCAAACACCTTGTTGAGTTATTGAATCGCTTGCTTGTGTTAACACTACATCAGGTTATCAACCTGTACTGAAAACAGGTCTCTAACATGAAGAAGAGGCGAGTTTAGAGAGGACTGCTGTGAAAGTTGTTGAATTATAATTAATCATAAAAAAAACCTATAGGATCACACAACGGGGTTAAGTAATGACAACTGGTGGAACCGCATTTTTCAGAACCACCCCCCAAACAATAAAACGTTGAATTTAGTTTAAAGATTTTTAGATATAACAATTCGTGTTTATTCTACTTAAATAGTTTTATTAAACATTGTCAGTGGTAACTACTTAAACAATTCTTCTAAACTCCTCACATTTAAAGCGTTACCACTCATTAACTTTTTAGAAATTGGCATATGATTTCGTATTATTCATATATTGATCAGTTTATTTTATTCAAACTTCAAAACTGTTGTCATTAAATTAAAT